AAGCTCCGCCTCCTGGGTTCCCGCCATTCTCCTGCCTCAGCCTCCCGAGTAGCTGGGACTACAGGCGCCCGCCACCTCGCCCGGCTAATTTTTTGTATTTTTTGGTAGAGACAGGGTTTCACCGTGTTAGCCAGGATGGTCTCGATCTCCTGACCTCATAATCCGCCCGTCTCGGCCTCCCAAAGTGCTGGGATTACAGGCTTAAGCCACCGCGCCCGGCCAAAAAGAAGAATTCTTAACAGTTTCCATTCTCCCTTCTCCAACTCCAGGAACAAACCCTACTTGTTTTATTTCAACATTGTGAAATGTGCCAGCCCCCTGGTTCTGCTGGAATTCCAATGTCCCACTCCCCAGGTAACCTGTCCCCACCATTCCCTTTTTCCTCTCCCCACCATTCCCTTTTTCCTCTCCCCACCATTCCCTTTTTCCTCTCCCCACTTTCCATCCTTTTCCCCCTGTGAATGTGGGCTGGGACCTCTGTCCTGAGCGGTCTGTCCCAACCCCACCCAATGCCTTCCTTCTCCCCGCCCAGATCTGCGTGGAAAAATGCCCCGACCGCTACCTCACGTACCTGAATGCTCGCAGCTCCCGGGACTTTGAGTACTATAAACAGTTCTGTGTTCCTGGCTTCAAGGACAATAAAGTGAGTTGTAGACTGTCCTGAGAGCCCAGGTATGGGCAGCGGCAGTGTACTAGCCTTGGGGACTCACCTCCCTCCATCTCTCTTGGCAGGGAGTGGCTGAGGTGCTTCGAGATGGTGACTGCCCTGCTGTCCTCATCCCCAGCAAACCCTGTGAGTCAGGGGATCCCAGGAGACTCAGGTGGGGACAGGGAGGCTGTGCAGAGGCTCAGCCTGACTGGTCCCATCCTCTGCTCCATGCAGTGGCCCGGAGATGCTTCCCCGCCATCCACGCCCACAAGGGTGTCCTGATGGTGGGCAATGAGACGACTTATGAGGATGGGCATGGCTCCCGGAAAAACATCACGGACCTGGTGGAGGGCGCTAAGTGAGGAGATTGGCGCACCACACCGGGGTCGCACTTTCCTGGGTGGGACAGGCATCCCCTGGGGTTGACCTGATCACAGAAGAGGGTCTGACCTGAGCCTCGGTCTCCTTCCCCCAGGAAAGCCAATGGAGTCCTAGAGGCGCGGCAACTCGCCATGCGCATATTTGAAGATTACACCGTCTCTTGGTATTGGATTATCATGTAAGTCAGGAGGGAAGGGGCCTCTCCCCTGGCTGCCCTTTCTAAGCCTGGCTGGGGATGGAGTCTGTTCATGACCATTTTCTTTTCCCCAGAGGCCTGGTCATTGCTATGGCAATGAGCCTCCTATTCATCATCCTGCTCCGCTTCCTGGCTGGCATTATGGTCTGGGTGATGATCATTATGGTGATTCTGGTGCTGGGCTACGGTAGGTTACCCCCTCCCTGTGACTCCTCTTTCCTGCATCTGCACACTGCCCTGCCCTTTCCCATGGAAATGGCCCATCAGGGAAAAAAAAGAAAATGTCAGGCTGGGTGTGGTGGCTCACACCTGTAATCCCAGCACTTTGGGAGGCCAAAGCAGGCAGATCACTGAGGTCAGGAGTTCGAGACCAGCCTGACCAACATGGAGAAACCCCATCTCTACTTAAAATACAAAATTAGCTGGGCATGGTGGTATATACCTGTAATCCCAGCTACTAGGGAGGCTGAGGCAGGAGAATCGCTTGAACCTGGGAGGCAGAGGTTGCAGTGAGCCGAGTTCACGCCATTGCACTCCAGCCTGGGCAACAAGAGCGAAACTCCGTCTCAAAAAAAAAGAAAAAGAAAAAATGTCTCAGCACTGTAGTTAAGGATGCATACTATGGTACCAGAATAGCAGAGGTTCAAATCCTGGCTTTGCCAATTCCTTGGGCAAGTGCCTCAACCTAACTGTGCTTCAATTTCTCTTTTTTTTTTATTTTTATTTGAGACCTAGTCTCACTCTATTGCCCAGGCTGCAGTGTAGTGGCGCGATCTCTGCTCACTGCGAGCTCTGCCTCCCAGGCTCACGCCATTCCCCTGCCTCAGCCTCCCAAGTAGCTGGGACTACAGGCACCCGCCACCACGCCCGGCTAATTTTTTGAATTTTTAGTAGAAACAGGGTTTCACCGTGTTAGCCAGGTTGGTCTCGATCTCCTGACTTCGTGATCCACCTGCCTCTGCCTCCCAAAGTGCTGGGATTACAGGCGTGAGCCACCGCGCCCGGCCTCTTTTTTTTTTTGAGATGGAGTTTCGTTCTTGTCGCCCAGGCTGGAGTGCAATGGCGTGATCTTGGTTCACTGCAACCTCCGCCTTCTGGGTTCAAGCAATTCTCCTGCCTCAGCCTACTGAGTAGTTGGGATTACAGGCATGCACCTCCACACCTGGCTAATTTTGTATTTTTAGTAGAGACGGGGTTTCTCCATGTTGGTCAGGTTGGTCTCGAATTCCCGACCTCAGGAGATCTGCCCACTTCAGCCCCCAAAAGTGCTAGGATTACAGGCATGAACCACCATGCCTGGCCTGCTTCAGTTTCTTTCTCTGTAAAATGAGGGTAATATATATTTCTAGTTGGCAAACTAAATGACAAGGAGGTAATGTGCAGATAAAATATGTGTAGGGGCCTGTTTAGTTCAGGCCTATGGAATCCAGAGGCACAATATTGTGCTCAACAAAACAATGCTTCATATTTTGGATTTTTGTTGTTTTTGAGTTTTTGTTTTGTTTTGTTTTGTTTTGAGACAGAGTCTTGGTCGCCCAGGCTGAAGTGCAGTGGCACAGCCTCGGCTCACTGCAACCTCCGCCTCCCGGGTTCAAGCAATTTTCCTGCCTCAGCCTCCTGAGTATCTGGGTTTACAGGTGCCCAACGCCATGCCTGGCTAATTTTTTTTGTATTTTTAGTAGAGACGGGGTTTTACCATGTTGGCCAGGCTGGTCTTAACTTCCTTGTGATCTGCCTGACTTGGCCTCCCAAACTGCTGGGATTACAGATGTGAGCCACCATGCCCAGCCTTGATTTGTTTTTTGGGACAGAGTCTCACTCTGTCACCCAGGCTGGAGTTCAGTGGCATAATCACAGCTCACTGCAGCCTTGACCTTCTGGGCTCAAGTGATCCTCCCAAGCAGCTGAAACCACAGGCATGCACCATCATGCCTGGCTAAATTTTAAATATTTTTGTAGAGACAGGCGCTCCCTATGTGGCCCAGGCTAGTCTTGAACTCCCTGAGCTTGAGCAATCCTCCCGCCTTGGCCTCCCTAAGTGTTGGGATTATAGGCATGAGCCACTGTGCCCGGCCCATATTTTGATTATTCCTTGAACTTTCCTAGAAGAAAACTGCTTGGTAATCCAATCTGAGGACACTCATAGTAAAATATTCATATGAATAGTGGTTTCTAGCCTGGTGTGGTGGCTCACGCCTATAATCCCAGCAATTTGGGAGCCTGAGGTGGGTGGATCACCTGAAGTCGGGAGTTCGAGATCAGCCTGACCAACATGTAGAAACCCCATCTCTATTTTTATTTTATTTTTATTATTATTATTATTATTATTATTTTTTCTTGAGACAGAGTCTCGCTCCGTCGCCCAGGTTGGAGTACAGTGGCGCAATCTCGGCTCACTGCAAGCTCTGCCTCCTGGGTTCACGCCATTCTCCTGCCTCAGCCTCCCAAGTTGCTGGGACTACAGACGCCTGCCACCATGCCCGGCTAATTTTTTTTTGAGACAGAGTCTCGCTTTGTCACCCAGGCTGAAGTGCAGTGGTGCGATCTCGGCTCACTGCAAGCTCCGTCTCCCAGGTTCACGCCATTCTCCTCCTTCAGCCTCCATTGTAGCTGGGACTACAGGTGCCCACCACCACACCCGGCTAATTTTTTGTATTTTTAGTAGAGATGGGGTTTCACTGTATTAACCAGGATGGTCTCGATCTCCTGACCTCATGATCTGCCTGCCTCAGCCTCCCAAAGTGCTGGGATTACAGGCGTGAGTCACTGTGCCCGGCCTTATTATTTTTTTTTTGAGACAGAGTCTCGCACTGTTGTCCAGGCTGGAGTGCAGTGGCACAATCTCAGCTCACTGCAACCTCTGCCTCCCGAATTCAAGCAATTCTCCTGCCTCGGTCTCCTGAGTAGCTGAGATTACTGGCCCCCACCACCACGCCCAGCTAATTTTTTTTTTTTTTTTTTTTTTTTTTTTTTTTTTTTTAGTAGAGATGGAGTTTCGCCATGTTGGTCAGGCTGGTCTCAAACTCCTGACTTCATGATCTGCCCACCTTGGCCTCCCAAAGTGCTAGGATTACAGTTGTGAGCCACCACAACCGGCCAACCCCATCTCTATTAAAAATACAAAATTAGCTGGGCGTGGTGGCGCATGCCTATAATCCCAGCTACTTGGGAAGCTGAGGCAGGAGAATCACTTGAACTCGCGAGTTGGCGGTTGCCGTAAGCTGAGATTCTGCCATTGGACTCTAGCCTGGGTAACAATAGTGAAACTCCGTCTTTAAAAAAAAGAAAACAGTGGTTTCTAGGCAGGTTTATGCCTGTAATCCCAGCACTTTGGGAGGCTGAAGCAGGAGATTCACTTGAGTCCAGGAGTTTGAGGATGCAGTGAGCCATGATCAAGCAACTGCATTCCACCCCGGGCAACACGGTGAGATCCCATTGCCAAAAATAAATTTAAGGCCAGGCACCATGCCTCACACCTGTAATGCCAGCACTTTGGGAGGCTGAGGTGGGTGGATCACTTAAAGTGGAATTCGAGACCAGCCTGAACAACATGGTGAAAACCCATCTCTAATAAAAATACAAAATTAGATGGGCATGGTGGCGCATGCCTGTAATCCCAGCTACTTGGGAGGCTGAGGCAGGAGAATCTCTTGAATCTGAGAGGCAGAGGCTGCAGCGAGCTGAGATCGTGCCATTGCACTCCAGCCTGGGCAACAGAGTGAGACTCTGTCTCAAAAAAAAAATTAAATAAATAAATAATAATAATAATTTTTAAATTATCTGGGGGCCGGGCACAGTGGCTTCCGCCTGTCATCCTAGCACTTTGGGAGGCCAAGGCGGGCAGATCAGGAGGTCAGGGAAGATTGAGACCATCCTGTCTAACAGGATGAAACCCCGTCTCTAGTAAAAATACAAAAACTTGGCCAGGCTTGGTGGTACGTGCCTATAGTCCCAGTTACTTGGGAGGCTGAGGCAGGAGAATCACTTGGACCTGGGAGGCAGAGGTAGCAGTGAGCCGAGATCACGCCACTGCACTCCAGCCTGGGTGACAGAGAGAGACTCCGTCTCAAAAAAAAAAAGAAAAAAAATTAGCTCTATGCACCTGTAGTCTCAGCGACTTGGGAGGCTGAGGTGGGAGAATAACTTGAGCCAAGGAAGCTGAGGCTGCAATGAGCTACGATGGCACCACTGCAGTCCAGCCTGTATGACAGAGGTAGACCCTGTCTTAAAGTAATAGTAATATACTCAATGCAACCAAAAAAATAGTAGGTTTCTAGCTGGGTGTTGGCATTTTAGGTAGCTTGATTTTTTTTTTTACTTTATCTCCCAAAGTGCTGCGATTACAAGCATGAGCCACCACACCATGCCTGTCTTTTTTTTTTTTTTTCAAAACGGAGTCTCACCCTGTCGCCCAGGCTGGAGTGCAGTGCAGTGGCGCAATCTTGGCTCACTGCAACTTCTCCTTCCCGGGTTGCAGTGATTCTCCTGCCTCAGCCTCCCAAGTAGCTGGGACTCAGGCATGTGCCACCATGCCCAGCTAATTTTTTGTATTTTTAGTAGAGATGGGGTTTCACAGTGTTAGCCAGGATGGTCTCGATCTCCTGACCTTGTGATTCACCTGCCTTGGCCTTCCAAAGTACTGGGATTATAGGTGCGAGCCACTGCGTCCGGCCAAGCCTGTCTTTATTTTATAATTATAGTTTGCAAGCTAAGAAGAATGCTGAAAATTTCTAATGCTGCTCTACATATTAATACCCAGGCCACTCCTGAGAATCACTGTTATAAGGTGGCGAGGGGGTCAGAGAGAGGTCTTAGCCATGCAGCATCCTGACACCTGCTCATTCATTCATTCATTCAACAGCTATCCTGGCTGGGCGTGGTGGCTCACGCCTGTAATCTCAGCACTTTGGGAGGCTGAGGTGGGCGGATCACCTGAGGTCAGGAGCTCGAGACCATCCTGGCCAACATGGCAAAACCCTGTCTCTACTAAAAAATACAAAAATTAGCTGGGCATGGTAGTGGGCACCTGTAATCCCAGCTACTCAGGAGGCTGAGGCAGGGAGAATCTCTTGAACCCTGGAGGTGGAGGTTGCAGTGAGCCCAGATCGTGCCGCTGCACTCCAGCCCGGGTGACAGAGTGAGCCTGCATCTCAAAAAAAAGAGAAGTTAGACCCTGGCAGCACATGATTATGATTCCAAGTAGGGGG